TAGATTCCTCCTTGCCCTTCAGCTTAGATCTAGAACCCTACATTAGAGTCCTCCCTGCCCTTCAGCTTAGATCTAGAACCCTACATTAGACTCCTCCTTGCCCTTTTAACTTCACCATTTTTGTTTCACTCTGGGCAAATCTGGCAGTCTTCACAGTACTGAAGAAAGAACTCAGTAACTTCATGAGTTGGGGCCCGTCAGGACATGAGCCTTTTAGTGGGAGTGTAACAATTTGGTAGGGATACCAGTGGTCTTGGGGAGAGCTGGAACTAAGAGATAAGATGCTGGCACCTGATGAGTTGACAAATGACGTGATGTTACTGGCACACCAGAGAGACCTGGATAAGCCCAGTCCAGGTAGAAGATTTCTAGTCTCCTGCAGAGCTGTGACCTTGGTCCCTGGGATTTCCCAACCTTATTTTGATCCCATTACTGAGTGACCTCTGCCCTGGGACTGGGCTGGTTCCAGCAGGCTGGAGCCAAGAGCCTCAAATATACACCCTCCATATGGAAGTTCCAGGAACCTAGGTGTATTTATGATACACTCCCTGGACTTGGTTCTGCTGTAAATGCCTTGGGCTGAGTCACTTGGATGCACTAAAAGGCAGCTGGATGAACAAGGCACTGCCATAAGGCCAGCTGAGACCAATTAGGCTGCATCAGCACTGAGACGAAGAGCCCTGTCCAAGGAACAGTTTCTGTGGTCCCACCAGAAACTTCTAGAATTGCTCAAAGCTAATTGGTTGTGACTGAGCTCTCAGTGAATCCAGCTTAGTCAATCCCTTTGGAAATGTGGTGGGGGATGGCTGTTCTTTATGCCTCCATGCCATTTATGCTGGTTGAGGTTTGAATGGTCCTTATAGGTTCATGTATTTGAATGCTTGGTCCCCAGTTAGTGGAACTGTTTGGGAAGGGTTAGGAGGTGTGGCTTTGTTGAAGAAGGTGAGTCACTAGAGAGTGGGGCCTTGAGATTTCCAAAGCTCATACTGGACTTAGTCTCTCCCTCTCTCTACAGTCTCTCTCTGGCTCCTACTTGGGGCTCAGATGTGAGCTCTCAGCTACTGCTTAGTGCCATGCCTGCCTGCCATCTATCATGCTACCTGCCTTGTGATGTTCGTGGACTAACCCTCTGAAACTATAACCAAGACCCCAAATAAATGCTCACCTTTAAAAGTTGCTTTGATCGTGGTGTCTCTTCACAGAAATAGGACAGTAACTAAGACAGAAGCTGGTACCAGGACAGGCCTTAGCATGCTTTTGTTTGGAGAAAACACTTTGGAACTTTAGAATAGAAAATCAGTAAAATGTTGTAAGTGGGGCTTAATTGGCTTAGTAGAAGCCAGGTGCTGAAACACATAGTGTTGAGAGCTATTTTAGCAAAGAATGTAGCCCCTTTTTGTCCTAAAAATCTGCCTAAGGCTAAATTAAACAGTTCTTGAACTAATGTCATTGGCAGAGAAGATTTCAAGATAACCTCATATTGACTGGGTCACATGGTTATTAGTGACCTTTCTTATGTAGAACTCCAATAAAAAGGAGCAAGAGGGATAAAAACAAAGACAAATATAGTTTGAAGGGATAAAGAGCACCAGGAAATGCAATGTTGGAACTAAGCCTTGTGCCCAAAGAGATGAGAAATTAAAAGAAAGGCCTGATAATGAATGTAATAAAGGGAGCGGTATCTTCAGGGAGAAACTCCACCTAGCTAAATCTGTAATCTCTGTAAGGCAAAGACTGAAGGCCATCTAAAAACAAAAACCATCAACAGTCCAAGCTTATGCCAATGTAAGTCATGGAGGGACCCAGCAAGCCCAAGCAAGCAGAAGAATTTGACAGCACCAGCCACAACATTGTGGCTTTAACAAGGAAAACACAAGTGGACAGGAGTTGTGAGACCTTCCTCTGTAGTTAAGGACAGCAGCTGAAGACAAGCATGTGGCAGGAGAGTCCTGGCATGGAGGCCCTGAGAGGCTGTCACATGAAGCTGTGAAGCTGAGATCTGGATTGTGTTGGAGACCCCAAGATGCTGGAAATGCCAAAGCCATGGGCTACCTGCCAAGAAAAGCTGCAGACTGGGTATGTGTGGAACCAGCCCAAGGGAAGGAAGTGTGCTGCAGTCAACTAACCTGGAAGGAGTGGAAGCTATGAAGAGGTATCTAATAAGCCTCTTGACATTGGGCACAGAGATACAGAATTTGGAGTTTGCCCTGCTGGGTTTGGTTTTGCTTTGGTCTAGTATTTCCTCACTATGTCCCCTTTCCTCTGTTTTGGAAAAGTATATTCTGTGCCACTGTATGTTGGAAGTATGTAATTTGATTTTTAATTTTACAAGGGACTACAAGTAAGAGACTGCCTTGAGTCTCAGAAGAGCCTTTGGGCTTTAAGACTCTGGAGGACTATCGGAACTTTTCAGTTGGACCAAATACATTTTGCAGTATGATGTGGCTACAGATCTACATGGGCCAGGGAGTGGAATGTGGTGGTATTGGTATGAATTAGAATGGCCCCCATAGGTTCATACATTTGAATATTTAGTTCCCAGTTGGGTGGAACTGGATCAGGAGGCATGGTCTCACTGGGGAAAGTGTGTAACTGGGAGCAGGCTTTGAGGTTTCAAGATTCCCATCAGTGTAAATTTGTGCAACCACCATGGATATCAATATGGTAGCTCCTCCGAACATTGGGAATTGATCTACCTCAAGATCCAGATATACCACTTTTGGGTCTATACCCAAAGGATGCTTCAAGGACACTTGCTCAATCATGTTCATTACTGCTCTACTCATAATGGCCAGAAACTGGAAACCTAGAGATCCCTCAACGGAAGACTGGATAAACAAAATGTGATGCATTGATACAATGGAGTATTACTCAGCATTTTTATTTATGTTTCATTTGTTTTTAAATAGACATTATGGAATTCTCAGGTAAATGGATGGAACTAGAAAAAAATCATCCTGAGTGGGGTATCCCAGGCCTAGAAAGACAAATACTCTATGTATTCACTTATATGTGGATTTTAGCTGTGAAATCAATGATAAGAACCACAGAGGTTAGGTGTAGAGGGAGCGATTAGGTAGGGGACACATAGATCTCCCTGAGAGGGGGAATAGAATATATTTTACAGGTGGACTGGGGACAGGAGGGGACGGGAACAGGAGGATCAGGTGGGGATAGGGAGAGGAGATAGGGTTGAGGGAGGGAATTTGAAGAGATACAGTTGGAATTGAGGGACATTTAAGGGATGGTATGGAAACCTAGTGCAGTCAAAACCTCCTAAAATATATGAAGATGATCCTAAAGAAATTGAATTGGTGCCTACACGGAGCCATCACCCCAACACTCTAGTGTCTTTGGTGCAGGAAGGTACTCTGCAGGCTACCAAAAGAGAAATGTTAACATCAACTTAGGAACAAAACCTTTAACTTACAATCTGTCCTACCTATAAGATAATAGGGCAATGGTGGCACAGAACTTGTGGGAGTGGCCAGCCGATGTCTGATTTGACTCAGGGCCCACTCCACAAAATGGAACTCATACCCAACGCTGCTTGGGTAACCAAGAATCAGAGACTAGGTAGCCCAGAAACCTAGGGAAAAGCCAAATACTACTGTTTTTTTTTAAAGTATCAATAAAATGACTCCTAATAATATTCTGCTATACTCATAGATCAGCGGCTCCAGGCATCATCAGAGAGAATTCCTCCTGCAGCAGATGGGAACAGATGCAGGGACCCACAGTAAGAGAAAGGCCTTGGAGCACACAGCCCTAAATGGGATGTTGTCATCAAATCCTCTCTCTCAAACCTCAGGGAACCCTGAGGAAGAGGAAGCAGAAATTTTGTTAAAAGCCGGAGGGGATAGAGGACACCAGAAGAGCAAGGCCCTCTGAATTAACTAAGCAAGGCTCATATGAACCTATGATGACTGCACCAGGCCCTCTGCATAATATTAGAGCTTTTAGCTTAGTATTTTACGGTCCTGAGTGTGTGAATGAGTGGGTCTCTGGTTCTTGTGCCTGTTCTTGGGCTCTTTTCCTTTTCTTGGGTTGCACTGTCCAGCCGCCATGGGATGGTTTTCTTTTTTTAACTTATTATATTTTGTTATTTTATCATGTTTGGTTGCTACCGTTGTGTGGACCGAGCAAAGGGAAAGGCTCAAAGATAGGAGACTCGCAAATGTGAGGGGAGGAATAGGTTAGAATGGAAAGTTTATGCAAAGGACGTGGGCAGGCAGTTTGAATGGGGCTTTGTGATGAAGGGTGCATAGTGTGGAATCAGAGGTTAATAATTCAGGAAACAAGCTAGGGAATTGTAGGAGGCTGTTCGTTCATTTCTCAGCCATTCAGACCCATATAATCACATAGAAACTATATTAATTACAACACTGTTTGACCAATGACTCTAGTGTATTCCTAGCTAGCTCTTACATTTTAAATTAACCCATTTCTATCAATCTATGTATCACTACAAGGCTGTAGCCTACCAGTAAGGTTCCTAAGGATCTGGCATTTCCTTCTTCGGCAGCTACATGGTGTCTCTTTGATTCTGCCTACTTTCTCTCTATATCTCTGTTTGGATTTCCTGCCTAGCTTTATTCTGCCCTGCCATATGCCCAAAGCAGCTTCTTTATTAACCAATGGTAATAAAACATATTCACAGCATACAGAGGGGAATCTCACATCAGGGAATAGTAGCACATGCCTTTAATCCCAGCACTTGGGAGGTTAAGGCAGGTGGATCAAGGTGAGTTTGAGGCTAAACTGGTCTACACAGTGAGTTCTGGGACAGCCAAGATCTACACAGTAAGGTCCTGTCTTGAAGGAAAAAAAAAAAAAAACAAGGGGTGGGGCAGGGAGAATCAGAAAACATTTAAATTAAGTAGAAGTCTTTTAGAGTGATACGTCAAACAGGCATGACAAACAACAACATGTTCATGATTTACTCTTTATTTGCATTTGACTCCTGTCTGATTTAGTACTAACATACATCACCCAATTTGATCTCAGTAGATAACCCTATGATTAGTTACTGTGAGATGCTGCCAAGGAGTCTTCGCTTCAGAGAACTTATGAAATGTCCCCAGCATGATCCCTTTGACTTGTCTGTGACCTATTTGATTTCAACATTCACTATGTTCTGAAGTATTTGTCAGACTACCGCTAAAAATTAAAGTGGACTCTGAGAATATTGCAAAAAATATAATAAAATAAAAATAAAAGACCCTTACCATCTCCCAGTTACTTCTCTTTGCCTTATGCTTTGGATCAATTTGTGAGCTCTCAACTACTGCTCCAGTTAAAAACAAAAAGCGAAAACCCTGCTTATATAAGTTGCTTGGTCATGGTGTTTTATCACAGCGATAGAAAAGTAACTAAACATGCAGTCACTTGAATTTAGAATATATTTAGGCTGCAATTTAGGTTACTGGCTCAAAGCTATGTCTTCCTCTCTGAGACACGTGGACCCCATTGGGAAAGGCTCTATGGTTAGATATGAAGACACCAGGTCCAGCACCTCACATCTGTCCACATTGTCCGAATGCCCATGTACCTTCTACCTCCTTTTGGTGTTGGATCCCTGCCCTAAAAAGGGTGGGATCTGCTTCCTGGAGGGCATCAGGAAGGAAATCAAGTCCACCGGAGGAAACAAGAACAAACTCCCATACTACCGTCACGACACAGATCTTTGGGAGGGCAACCTACCATAACAACAGTGATGTGGGCCTCCCCTCTGTATGCTGAGAATACCATTTGTTAATAAAGAAACTGTCTTGTGCCTGCTCAGGGAATAGAGGTAGGCAGGGAAAACTAAACTGAATGCTGCGAGAAAGGAAGGCAGAGTGAGAGAGAGAGCTTCATGTAGCCCGGCCGGAGACAGATGCCGGAACTTTAGCTGGTAAACCACAGCCACGTAGCCATACACAGATAAATAGAAATTGGTTAAATTAATATGTAAGAGTTAGCCAGTAAGAAGCTAGAGCTAATGAGCCAAGCATTGATTTAATTAACATAATTTTTGTGTGCTTATTTAGGGGCTAAGCAGCCGGGAACCAACAAGTGGCTCTCTCTTCCTACACAACAGGCCAGTCCCTCTTGTCACGTGGATCCATGAGAGGAGAGGCTATGGTGCCCATGTTCATTGAGCTGAAGGAAGCAGGCTTAGTCCAGAATGGTCTGAAAGTCCGTGCTTAGGGCTGGGTCAGCTGCAGCCTTGAGGGTGGCCATTGTGGCCCCAGGGAGCTTCCAGCACAGCTGCTTCTGAGCTGCAACAGAGGATGTGTTCGGATCTCAAACCAAAGAGGTGAGGCGGTCCCTTAGCCGACCTGGGCCAGGTCCTGGCCACGTGGGGGCCAGGCATGAGCAGGAGTCCCACCCAGGAGCACATCACCACCACTACACTGGGCACACAAGGACAGATGCACCACAGAAACCTCAGCATCCCCCGCCCGAATAGAGAAAGTAGCAGAGCAGAGGGGTGGGTGAAGGGACCAGGTAGGGAACAGAAGGTTCCTGAAAGTGAAACATGTCATCCCACGGGCCTCTACGGGGGTAAGAGGCAGAGTCAGAACAGAGGAAGCAGGCAGGCAGAAGTAGGAAGGTGTGGTGTAGAAGCCCAGCTTCACCGCCCCCTCCAGGGCTGCCTGAGCAGGCTCCTCCCCAGGCAAATGGAGACGGGCTTGGCACCTACGGTCTGCCTTTGGATTCAACTAGGCACTCGGCGTTCAAGGGTAGATTTAGGGGTCATTTGGAGGAGCTCACGTACCAGCCCTGAGAGGTCCCAGGAGACACTTGTAGACAGCAGAGTGACCGTCCAGCTTGATCAGGAAGGCTTGGTAGCACAGCCAACGTGCAGCTTCAAGAGGAAATAAGCCAAGGGCTCCCTTGGCCCCTAGTGTCATTCCTGGAGGAGCAGACAGAGGCTGAAGAACCTCGGGTCACAGACCCTCATGCCCTCCGACAGGTTCTCCACACCCTTCTGACCTGCTACACCCAGGAACAACGGCCAGCAGCACTAGCTCCTGAGTGAGGGCAGGATATCCAGCCCCTGCACAAGAACGCTGGCCCTGGTCCATCCACGCACCTGCGTTCTTGACCTTCAGGACAGAGTAGCAGCAGGATGCTGTGTTGGCGATGATGTCCAGAAAGAATCTGGGGTTCTTCCTAACATGCTGGTCAAAGGGAAGCTGAAGCACGCACGCATGGAACCTGGGTAGGAGCCACAGTGGCAGGGAAAGGCCCTTGGTAACTATGTACATGTGTGTACACATGAACAACCTCTTATCTGTGCATACATGTGAACTACACACACACATTTATGTGCACCACATGCACAGAATCATGTACAAATGAACTACATGTGAACACTCAGCATGTGTGTGTGCACATGTCCTCATATATGTATACTGTCATATAACCAGTCTCTTCCCACGTGCCTCATGCACTGTCACCTCACATCACAGCAAGGGTAACTGAAATTGTGCTCAGTTTTCCACAACATAAGCTTTTCCCTACACTCAGCTCCAGTGACCAGGGAGGTTACTTAGGAGGAGGCCAGACCCACAGTGGCATAAATCTGGCCTGTGGTTGGTGTGACCCTCTGCCAACTCCAGGCAGAACTCTGGCTTCTGCTACAACTCCGTGGAGCAGCCCTCCTTTCACAGGAAGCCAGTCCCACCCCTACAGGAGACGTCAGAAGACCGTTAGATCAGGTAGAGGATACCATGCGGTCTGGCCTAACTACTTGAAACCTGGGAATGGATCCCACTGATCGGCCACCAGTCAGGTCTCAGGACCAACCAAGGACAAGACTATTCCAGAAGAACAAACCATGATGGCCAGGCTGCTTGAGGCTGTGTCCTTGTCATGCCTTCTGGATGCAAGGCTAGGGACACTCGGCAATAGATCTAATTCTCTGGTTTCTGGAGCTCTGGGTGTCCCTGCTTCTCTTTCCCATCCTATGCTTTTTGGGGTGCTTTCTTGGGGGGGGTTCTTTACCCAGCTTCCTCTCCTATTTCAGCCACAGGCTCTGATCAGCACATAAGGTCACATATGCTTCCGGTACAGACAGACCAGAAGAGGTTCTCATCTGACAGATACAGAGCTGTGTAGAGACTCAGCTGATTCTGCTTTTTCCTGACCCCACGTTTGTATGACACCCAATCAGGGGAGCAACTAGCCAGCTCTCTCTTAAGCTTGACAGCCCCAGCAGACAGCATGGCTGGCATTTCTGGTCTGTGGCTCCCTCTAGTGGTGGCATAGAGCCATGACTCACCTGTAGGCCTGAAGCAGGAAGATCTTGTAAACATTGATGCAGACGGTCTGCAGGCTGTTCACCTGGCGTCCCAACAGAAAGAGAAGCATCAGCAACGTCCCTCAGATCACAAATGAACACTTCCTGTGTGAGGAACCCAGGAAATCCAGCCAGGGGAGGAAGCAGGAGGGAACAGGGGCCAGAGCCTACCACAGCGGCCCCTCCCAAACAGAGAACTCAGCAGCAATGACCTGAGAGGTCAAGGCCAAGGCTAGGATCCAAAAATTCTCTCTCTGTGTACTGATAATAGTATTGTCAAGTGATGGAGATGAGCAGGGTGGATGCTCAGGGATCATACAGATGTACACACACACACACGCACGCATGCACACACACACACACACACACACGCACGCACGCACGCACGCACATGCATGCACGGCTGCCCTCGACACACACACAACTCTTCCTGCACATGCCCCCACACAAAGAACAGAACCTACACAAGGGTTCCCTAGATGACGTGACTGCCCATCTGCTTACCTGCAAGTCTAGAAACAAACTGTGACACTTCAGCCGCAAAGCAGCTAAGAGCTTGTCCCGCATGTTCCTCCCGGCCTTGAAGACGCGCTGGAAGGTGAGGCTGGCCTTAACTGAGGTCTGGGCATAACTGCAGCACAAAGATATCCTGCCTGTGTGATTCCCACATCAACCCCTCTTCTGAGAGACCAGCACCGATGCCCTTCCACCCCCGTCCCTCTCTGCTGCACACTGAGGGCTTAGATAGGGATGGACCTTCACACAGGGAACACATTCCAGCTCTTGGTACATGCTCACAGCACCACACAAAGCCCTGGACAACCAATCCCAGCCAGATATAGTGAGCAACATCCATTGTATCCAAGCCTAACATCACCAGACATCTTTGCTCATCAGTGGCAAATAAGAGCCGTCAACATTCACAGTTTAGAAGGAAACATAAATCACAAAGCCCTGTGCTTCTTTCAGTCTGACAGAGCACCTTCCTAGTATGGGGCTGTGAAGGAAGCAGAAAACTGCCTTCAGCCAGACCTCGGCGGCAGCAAACAGTAAGGAGATGCCTACGATGGTGCCAGACCACTTGCAGACTGCAGGATGCTTCTTGGCCACCTTTGAAAATAAAATTACAAGATGGTGCACATAGGACAGAAGGTAAGGGGTGGTTCCTTCTTGCCATCCAAAGACCTTGCGTCATTCTCAAAGATGTATACTGGTAACAGGCACAGTTACCTGTTAAGTTTCTTTAAAAGATTTTTGTTTTTATGTATTATGAGTGTATGCTTGAACATGCAGATGGAGGCCAGAAGAAGGGGTGTTCTGCCCATTCTAACTCCACATTATTCCCTTGAAACAAGATCTCTCACTGAATATGGAGGTATCCTGGCAACCAGCAAGCCACTGTGATCAGCTTTTCCCATCTGCACGTACAGTGCTGGGAATACAGGTGCCTGTAATCACCATGGCTTTTTATGTGCGTTTCGGGGTTTTGAGATCAGATCCTCATCCTTACACAGTGGGTACCCTTAACCCAAGTTACCTCCCCAGTCCTAGTCATACCTTCTATGTGTAGTACAATTAATGAAGAACCCAGAGACAGAAATCGGGGTTCAACCTGCAGGTCAGGAAAGCAAAGCAGCCAGCCACTTGCTCTTACCTCTACCTCAGTCTGAAATGGTGATCCTGCCTCCAGGAATCTCAGAACGAGACTGTGTCTGAGAGCTGTCCCCTCCCATCTTATATTCCTCTCTAGTGCTGAAATTAAAGGTGTGCACCACTATCGCTTGGCTTCTATGGCAAACTGGTGTAGCTACTGGCGTTAAAGGTGTGTGTCTGAGGCTGGTCAGTGTAGCTGTTTTACTCTCTGAACTTCAGGCAAGTTTTATTTATTAAAATACAAATGAAATATCACTACATCGATACAAACTTTTGAAGATTTTGATGTTGAAATGGGGCTTCTATCATTAAATACTGTTCGAAAATGTATCTACAGCAGAAGGTTGCTGCTTGTATTCTGAAGCATCTTCTGTCCACTGCTTAGATCAAGGGGCAAGACAAACCAGCCTTGCCAAAGTAAAGGTTCAAGTAAAATTTTTGGTAGTCTCTGATTTTTTTTTTCAGGATAGACATGAAGATGTGGAATTACTAGGGAGAATGAATGCATGTTCTAAAGACCACAGTACCATCGAGTACCACTTCCTGGAGATGCTGCCTTGGCCTGACTGAATCAAAGCGCGTGTGAATACGTGTAGAGTCTGAGCTCACGTTAAATCACGTTATGAGGGCTTACGCAGCATAGACTACTATCCACGGGGGTCTTGCACCAATCCCCCCACAGATCCTGAAGATCCACTGTACAATTCTGGGGGACACAGCCAGATTGCTGTGTTCTCCGTTGCAGTGTTCTGTCGACCATCTTCACGCTTCGCATGTGAGCTGTGGTTTGGGGAGAAGAAATTCCTACCAGTACGTTTTCCCTTAGGATGTTGCTAGTCACTCTGGCTGACCTCTGGACACATTGTCCCTGGCTCAGATGGAAGGATCCTCAGCTCAGCTGAGCACACCCAAACTGCAGCCTCATTGGTGAGCTCACAGCTGCTCTGAACATTGACTCTGGAAGCAGGACCCTTCTGGTCTACGTGTCAGAGTCGTCTCTGATTCCCCTGTCCAAGGTCAGGCTGGCTTCCTGTAAGGGTGTGCTGTTCTCTGCTTTTAGCAGTATGTTCAGAAGGGAAATATTTTTTTGATTGCTTTACCCATTACTCATGACATTGAGGCATGTCAGGGGATGGAGCCAGGGACTTTACCCTCAAAAAGGCCAGGTCCTCATGGGGAATGGAACAAGCAAGTTGACAGTTTAGGAGCAAATAGGTATGCTCAGCACTGAGGAGGGGGCTGGGGTGGCTTAAGTGGGTCTAGGAGGCAGAGGGTGAAGCCAAAACATTTGAGTTAAGTCTCAGGGATTGGCCCAACTCACATACAAAGACAGGGAGGCTGTAGAGCCCAGGCCTGTGCTGACAGAAATGGCAGTAGGTGTGGGCACCTGCACAGATAGCTTATCTGCACCCAACTCTCCCCTTACGGTGTGAGCTTCCAAAGAGCACTGTGCAGACAGGAGAGTTTGGATCCGAGCTCAGAACAGACAGCTGTCAACACGACGGCAGGCTTGTCCGTCTCCTGCCACAATCCTCATACTTTCACTCATAAAAGAAGAGGCCTGGATAATTTCACCCATTTCCATCTCCAATCTGTCGTGTCTACACTAAAGCTGGGTTGTGAGCTCCCGGTAGGTGGAGACCAACTTCCCTCTTCCCGCAAGCACCTTATACCTCATACAGAGAAGGGCCCTGGCTCCATGGTCTCTAGGAGACTTGAGACAAGGCTGAAGATGTTCTCACACTGCCCACATGTCTATCTCCAGGCAGAAAGGGAATACCTTATGGCCTCTATCATTTCAGGCCTCACGGTTACTTGTGTCTAGAAGCAGGAAACAGTGTGGAGCACCCATAGCATCCTCTGTCCCTGTGAGCTCATGGCTCCTCAACAGGAGACAGAATGGAGAGCTCACAGCATTCCCTGTCCCTGTGAGCTCATGGCTCCTCAACAGGAGACAGAATGGAGCACCCACAGCATCCTCTGCCCACATGAGCTCATGGTTCCTCATCAGGAGACAGAATGGAGTGCTCACCACATCCCCTGCCCCTATGAGATCATGGCTCCTCATCAGGAGACAGAATGGAGCACTCAAAGTATCCTCTGCCTCCAGGAGTTCATGGCTCCTCAACGTGACCAGGTGTGCTTACCTGGTGTAGTCACAGAACACCTCCAGAGTCTGAGTGTCCAGCAGTAGGCCACACCAGGGAAACAGGCAGCGAGCCGGCAGCTGGTGTGGAGCTGCACCATCCAGGGCACCAGTCTCCACGGGGAAGTTCACCATTGTCTTCTCTAAGTTTATTGTGCAGCCATACTCAGGAATGCCGTGGACCAGGGCCCTGTGTGAAAGAGGGAACATTGGTTATGGGACCCTGGAAAATACCCAGAGGTGTTCTGGGACCAGAGAGAGTGGGTCCTTGAGGGTACCCTAATGGAACGTCAGGCACAGTCTTGCTCTGGACTGTAGCCTAGCTCCTGCCTTCTGTGTAAGCGATAGAATAGGGCCAGCTCAGAACAAACAGGCGGGCATCAGACAAGTAGGAAGAGTCACATGACTCTCTGATGGTCGTATCTTAGCATCCACGTAGCAAGGCATCTTCTCCCTATGACCCCAAAAGCCTGCTTTCTTGTTGCTACTTTGAGGTGTCTGCAGGCTCCAAAGCTACAGAGAAACCCTGTCTTGAAAAAACCAAAACAAACAAAACAAAAGAAAAAGTTGTCAGGAATGGCTGCTGTGGTGGTTTGAATAGGTATGGCCCTCGTGTGTTTGGATGCTTGGCCCATAGGGAGTGGCACTATTAGGAGGTGCGGCCTTGCTGGAGTAAGTGCGGCCTTGTTGGAGGAAGCTGTCACCGGAGCCAGGCTTTGAGGTCTCCTACTCTCAAGCTGTGCCTACTGTGGTGCAGTTTACTTCCGGCTGCCTGCAGATCCAGATGCAGAACTCTCAGTGACCTCTCCAGCACCACGTCTGCCTGCACGCTGCCACGTTTTCACTATGATGATAATGGACTAAACCTCTGAACCTGTAAGCTGGCCTCATAAGACTTGCTGCTGTGAGTCCGGGAGCCTATACGGGTCTGACCTAGGCCCTCTGCATGTGTGTGACAACCGTGTAGCTTGGTCTTTTAGTAAGCCTTCTAACAGTGAGAGCAGGACCTCTCCCTGGCACTTAGCTGGTTTTTGCTAACTTGTTCCCCATGCTGGATTACCTGGCGCTGCCTCCACTTGATGTGCCAGGCTTTGTGCAAGACCATGGGAGGCCTGGTCCTTTCCAAATGGAGATGGAGGAGTGGATGGGGAGGAGGGGAGATGGGAAAGAGGACCGGAGGAAAATGGGGGGGGGTGTCTGGTATGTAAAATAAATTAAAAAATTAAATTAATAAAAAAGAGTTGCTGTGGTCATGGTGTCTCTTCACAGCAATAGAAGGCCTAACCAAGACAGCTGTGGTCACATCTCCCAGAAGGGCTTAGAGCCTCAGGCCTCTGCAGACAGTTCTTCTGTGGGCTCAGCTGGGAGGCATGGGAGTTACTGTCTGTTGTCTCATCTGAAGACTTTCCAAATCCTGGCACTGGCCTTATCCCTCACTATGCTGTGTCCTCGGTGAGACCAAGCTGGGCCAGCCATGGGTGCCATACTGTCTTCCTTGATCTTGGTGACAACATGAGCTCCAGACAAATGAAATTACAAACCAATTAAATGTGCTGCCTCAGCCATACATTCACCGTGATCATAACAGCAGAAACCTGGGCATGACGGTTCTTACCTGAGGAAGGCTTTTGCCTGGACCAGGTGAGGTGTCACCAACAGAAAGTCATCAACAAAACGTAAAAGCAGCCTAAAATGAGACACATTGACAGGCTTCACATAGAATCCACCTGTAAGGGATCCAACCTAAAACATTTTAAATATGGGAACGCACAAAGACAAAACAAAGTGATAAAACAGCTTCACTGTCTTCGTAACAGAAATAGCACTGGGGCACGCCACAGCTTTTCACGAAGTGAAGGCAATGGCCCTTGCATCTTGGACATGAAGCAACTGTAGCACCCAGCCAGTGAGCTAGGGACATGAAGTGCGAAGCTATGTCAACTCCTGACCCGGACCCTTGGAGCAGTAAAAGGAAGCATTTACCCATCCTGCTGCACCTCTGTAAGAAGCTTGTTCTCCATGTCTCCGAAACACAGGCTGAAGAGCAGGGTAGACAGGCTGGAGCCCTGGGGGATGCCCTGGCGCTGGACATAGCACCTGGGAGGAGGGTGGTTAAGGTCAGAAGCAGCAGCCATGTGGGCTTACACTCACATTTGACAAACTGCCGTGTATAAATATGTACGCAGACAGACATGAATATACACAGACGCCATTCTGTAGACATGCTCAAAGGCTACATACAAATAGTATTATCTGCTACTGTCAGTTGTCAAGACCTAAAAAGACACCAAATTAAGTACTGCCCTTTCTCTCTCATTCCCCACTCTTATCTTACCTGGGGTGGTAGGGACTACATCCCCATTCACTGACTCTAGGTTTTTTTTAGATTTTAAATTTTAAACAAGAAAGAATCAGGCTCTTGAACCCAATTTTTATTTGAGACAATTAGTAACAGATTGTTAGTGAAGGAACATTCCAGGTGTAGCCATGTGAAAACATCAATGCTTTCTTCACAGAGAACACAATGGCACCCTTCAATCAAACATACATGTGGGTGCTGGCAGGGGTGGGTGGCTTCAGATGATCAGGACAAGAAACTCACGGAGGGAACCCATATGTGGGAAAGAGTAGGTGTGAGCTGACCTTTAACCCCTTGAACTGGCTCAGTACCCTCTGCTGGAGCAACTGTTAGGAAGCTCTCCAGTACAGTGCATACAGATCTGACTTTTCAGTGTATTGGGCTGATCCACATGAGGACTAAGTTACCTACAACATGGTCGGTCTCACAAATCTGTGCTCAGTACTATCAGGACTCAGGAGAACCCTTTGCTGTGTTTGTGAAAACACACCCAGTTGCACACTTGCAGCTTGTGGTCTCCTACTAAGAACATTTAACATTCCAATCATATCCTAATACATATTGTGACTTTTGATAATCAGACATTTCTTCTCCTACCTGACCTCATCTCTAATAGATCGGGGTGTGAGCCTGGAATCCCATTCTGACCGGCACTCATTGTGGGCCCCTCTTAGTCCAGCAAAAAGGAACCAAGTGCATAAGCAGCACTTGGGGTGGGGGTGGGGGAACTTTGGGTGCAGAAGGTCCAAGCAAATGCTCAAACACTCAACCTCACATCTGATCCAGACACACAAGACATGTCTTTGAGGGATGATGGGTTGTTAGGCAGCTCCAGCACAGAGTCAATCTGGGCTGGTCTGGCTTGTAACTCATGGGAGTCTCAGGGGGACCCAGCCCCCGGCACCGCATTCTCTTTGTTAATGCTACATGTGTCCTGCTCCGTGCTGCACAGGTGAGATACCCTGCCACTTTGTAAAAATGACAACAGGAGCTCCAAGTATCCAAAATTATTAACTTCAATGGGGCCGTGCTGAGCCGGGAGCTCCCAAGGCCTTATGGGTAGATAGCCCTGTGGCCCAGCCAGCAGAGGGCAAGACAATTTTACAAAGGGAAGTGGAGAGGAAGGAATGAGGTAGAGACAGCTGGTCAGATAAATTGTAGCCGATTAGCGGGCACCCTGCTCAGCAGTCAGGATGGCCTGTACCTACCTGTACCAGCCCAGCCTCTGCCCACTCGCCCCATGCCTGTGCTCACCTGCCGCCAATCTTCATGATGTTATTACGCACAAAGTGCTGAAAGAAGTCAAACAGGCTGCGGCCGGCCTCATTCATAGAGAAGGTCTAGAAAACCAGACACAGGTAGATGGACAGGTGTGAGCATGCAGAATATTGCAGCAGGTTGCTATCAGATGCCCTTTTAAGACCGAGCATTCAGGACAGAGTAGGAGTGGGGGCAGGGCCAAGTGTTCCTGTATGACTAGGCTAAATTTGACTCAAGGTGACCGGGGTACATAACTTACAGAGCAGTGAAGTAACCTCAGATGTCCCCTACAGCACTAGGTCTGGAAACTTGCAGCTCACACAGTACCCCGAGGATCCAAAAGAAAACCATCTGAAGGCCTTGGTGAGCATGGCTGCTCCAAAGGTAGAACATGTACAAAGAAAGTTCTTTATCACCACCAGCTTGTGGGAAGAGATCTCCTGAGTGGTGTAGGGAAATACTGCTTCTGACATAATGGACCAAGATGAGGACCACAGAACAAGGTCAACTAGTCCACTAAAAGCAGATGAACTGTCTTATGGTCTCAAGGTCAAAACTGAGGGAGGAGATATTTTTACCAGCTCACTAATGGGTCAGCTGGACTGTGGGGGACAGAACAGTACAAAGGGCACTTCAAAGTAAGAGTCTTAGCATGCCCACCTTAGTAGCTATTGGGGGCCTTGGTCATGTCATGGGGACGGCCACCAGCAAGAGTGGCCTTGGTCATGGGAACTCTCCACCAAGGAGCATGTTGGTCACATTCCTGCCCTGAAACAAACAGCAAAGTAGAGGAGCAGGGCCCCACCAGGTGTGGCCCGTGAATGGGAAGCCTGAGGACCTGCTCAATGACAACGGAGTTCCTCAGTGTGCTGTCACCGGAGCCCTGCAGATGTGCCACGAACTGGTCCATGTACGGCTGGAAGTCAGACGTGGTAGAGACCTGCAGCGAAGAAGTTAGTACTTGAGGGGAACCAGAGGGGCACATGGTTCTCTGGCCAGGACAGGCACAGTACAGTTGAACAATGCAACAATGTATGTAGGGCCACTCCATCATAGAGTCTTGTAAGGAAAAGAGAGAGTCTAGCATCCCAGCAGGAAGAGTCACAGAGACAGCAGGTTTGACCACCGTCAGCTTTCCACAGGTCAGATACCCCCACAATGCTGGGGTTACTGACTATCACAACACAAGCAGCACCCACACTTCTCCACAGAGGCAGTGTGCAGACAGGAAGAGCCGTCAGGAATAGGGAGGAGATGACATTTCCTACAGCAGACTCTCTAGGATGCCTGCTTTTTATCCAGTGGTCACCAAGACCCATGTCTCCAGGCAGGATGTCACTGGCAGGAATACAACACCATCTATGGACAGCACGGGGACAATTCCAAGCCTGCCAGGGGTGAAGCATCCGGAGACAGGAACACTGGAGTCTCTAAGTAACCTTGGCTGTCCTCAAACTTGTCATACTTCTGTTCCATACTCTCATATGTTGAGACTGCACATTGGCGTTGAATCTTAAAACTTCCCATGTTAGGTTGCATGTGTGAAATATGGTCAAAATACATTATATACACGTATACAGATGTCATAATGAAACCCATTATTATGTAATTTAACATACAATAGCACAAAATAAACAAGAAACCCGTGTGCCAAGTGAGTTTGCTGCATTGCCAGGAGTAAAGTCACCTAGAGTAGTTAAAGTACAAGAATTAACCTAGGAAAGAATAACAAGATATATAGAAAATGTCTGTATTTTCAAAATAATTACGTAACATGCTTCTAAAGAACCAAGAAGTTATCAAAAATTGTAATTAATAAACAAAAAGATTTTGAACTGAATGATAATGAACCAGCAAAATGCGGCATTACTGAGGGCTCTCAGAGAAAAATATGCAACTTCAGGTATTCACTTGGGGGTTGGTGCAGTGGCTTAGTAAGTGAAGACACCTTCCACCAAACCTACTGACTTAAGTTCTATTACCAGATCCACACAGTGGATGGAGAAAATTAGCTCCTACACATTGTCCTGTATCCTCTACAGAGGCACCATGAGGGTTGCTCTGGCCAGAGCAGGGAAGGAATCAGTCGGGTGTAGTGATTATGAATTTGCCCTTGGAGCAGAAGCTACATGGCCACCACACATACCACACATGTATAGCTAAACGTTTGCCTGTAAGTCTTGTATGTCCTACATACAGGCAAAGGAAGCCACCTTGCGCCTGCCTCTTCCAGGCCAAAACTCTGTGCAAATTCCTTCACCTTTAAACCTGCAGACCCCACCTGTGTACTGAAGAGGACACTGGATGTACAAATCAACAAGCTGTTCCAGAGCAAGGGAGGAGAGCTCCTGGAAGGGGAAGCTCCACTGGGAATCCCATGGAGGGAGGCATGATCGTTGGCGCCACGGAAACCCAAACCATAGACACGCCATCGTATGAACTTGCCAGAAGTGCGGACCTATCACAGCCTCGGTTGTGTTACTGACAGATCCCAGATATTCATGGTATGAGAAGGCCTGCGCCACCAATGTGCTCTCAGCATAGGTAAGAGTCCACTATGACCTTACCTGTCTCCTGAAGTACTTATGGACTTGGCCTTGGCTATCTCTTTGAACCACTGCATACTGGCGGACATAGTACGTGTTCTCTGGGTGTCGGATGATATTGGCAACAACCTCCACGAGCTTGTCCTGGGGAATGGCATCAAATGCTCCCGCCACATCTGCCTGTGGAACACACGTGAGCGCTATTGAGCATGGTTGGGTCCAGGCCTAGGGGGCTCTACTGGCTCTGTCCTTGGTGTCTGGGTTCTAACCTGCCTTTAAGCAAACCTGCAGGACATAGAGAGATATAGGAGAAAGATACTCCAAGCTCCTGTATCAGCCTAGCTGCACATGCCCATCCTACAAATTTCCCATTCCAGACAAAGGACCCTGGGGCATACCCCAGATACTGCAGCATCCAGTATCCAGGTTCTGGTGGTAGAATCAACCCTGGCTACTTCTCTGAATGGGACCCATCGCATCGATCAATAGGATTCTCCTACAGGGTGCATCCCAGAGGAGTTGGAATATACTGTCCAGGGAACGCATATTGAGCTCAAGGATGTTCTGGGAGCTGGTTATCCCAGAAGAATGGGGTGCCCCTGCTCCCGAGAGAATGGGAGGCCATGGCATCTTTGGTCTACATATGGTAACAGGCCAACACTCTCACCAGCTTGAGCCTACAACAGGGTCACCCAGTGCTGGATGCTCCGAGGACGTCCCTACCATCCAGACCATGAGAGCAAATGTGATAGACAGGAGTACCAATGACTACCTTAACAAAGTACATCCTGGGTGTCCGGCCCAGAGTGCGCACGTGCAGCACGAAAGTCCGCCAGGTCCTGTAGATGTCATTCAGGCCCAGAGCAGTAGCCCCCAGGAGGTTAGGATGCTTTGTCCGTTCATAGTTGAGCACGCTGAATAGCGTCTTGAGACGGTGGGTGAAATTCTCGGCCTGCGCCCGGGCCATGGAAGACACATGAGAAACGAACCTGACAGACTCTCCCAGATCACCCTGATTTCTCAGAATAGACTCCTGTAGCCCAGAGTCCTAGAAGACCTCTCCCACTATGTCACTGGCCTGCATTTGGGACCTGCCCCAATCTGTTCTCACCCACCATCAAGGCGTGTCCAGAGACAAGTCCTCTGGGCTGGGGTCAGATTCAGGATCACCTTCACTTACAAAGGTCCCCCACTGAGCTGAGGCCTCAATAGCTTCACTTTGTCCCCTGGGGCATTACTAATGACAAAGTCACCCCACAGACCTTACACAGCTACTGGGAGGAGTCAGAGCTTTGACGGGACGTCCAGCTATGGGGAAGGGAGGCAGCTGCCTCCTGGTTACTTTGGCCCTTAGCATGGAGGCCATATAGTGTGTCTACTCTACCTAGCAGGATCCCCGAGGTATCTCCAAGGTTTGTGTCCCATGTCCTCTGCTCTTGAGACCATCTCCCCTCTCTAGGTCCTTCCCACATGATGAGTTTTTGGACTCAGGAACAACCAGTTCTTTGTCCTCCCTCTTCTGTTGACCCAGGGCTCAGAACTTCATGAGCCCTCATGTGAGCCAGAGTGCAGGCTCCACCAGAGCAGTAAAGGAGCCAAGCACGGTCACCTGTTTCTCTTTGTCAAAGACTCTGGTGCCCATGCTGTAACCCATGTTTGCAATGGGCCGGAGACCACTGAACTTGGGGAGGAATCGCAGTCTGTATACGGGCGTGACCGGCCAGGCCTCCTGGTACTGCCTGACCTCCTCTTGTGACAGCTCCTGCAGCCGCACTCTCTCGAGGTGCTGCCTGTTACAAAGAGCATAGTGGAGTTACGACGTGAGCATGTGGGACATGCAAGAGACACATCCCATCCGGGTGGTTAGAAACTTGGGTCATTTGACACCTGGCCATGCTGTGGGGCTACATCCAGGATCATAGCAACCCACAACAACCAGACAACCCATAGAACTGTCTGGGCAGAGCATAGCAACCCACAACAACCAGACAACCCACAGAACTGTCTGGGCAGAGTACATGACATATAGCCTGTGTTGGTACCTGGGACATCTGCCCCCATAGTCTGCTCTCAGTGTTCCTTTCTTGGGTGGTCCCATTGACCAGGACACTTTTGAAGCAATCTCCTGCACTGTATGGATATCCTGGCTTAGACACAGGTGTGAAAAAAAAAAGCACTCCTGCCGCCCCAGGTATATGTGTGCCAAAGTGTTCAGGAAGCCCTGTGCTGGCTAAGGATCCCATAGGCACAGTGGGTGGTGTGTAATACATAGCTACGGCTGGACCTTGGGGCCTCATGAAACATGGAGCTGGGTGGTAGTGGTGCAGACCTTTGATCCCAGTGCTCAGGAGGCAGAGACAGAGGTGGCAGGGGAATCTCGAGGCCAGCCTGGTCTACAGAGCAAGCTTCAGAACAACCAGAGCTACCCAGAGAAACCTTGGTTAACGTGGTAGTCTGGTCTCTGCAGGCCTTGCCTGGCCTCTACTCTGCCTCTTCAGACTGGCCTGTGTACCTTCCACTGGGACAGCAAATCCCAGCTCAATAAGCAAAGAACCTTAGCCACTCAGAGCCCCTGCCAGCTCTTGGAGTGGACCCTTGAGGTTTCCCACTGAGGAGGCTCCTCATAGGTGCCTCCTTCAGGGGTGAACAGAAGGTGAGCCCACGTACCAAACAGGCAGCTGTTCTGCTTCTGTTTGGTATGAATTCCTCCTACTTTAGGGATCCTGTAGATGGTGCAGGCCCAACTTATGATTTTACAGCCCAGAAAGTAGGCTCTCCAGTCCACGACTGCGTGGAGTCTGTGCCCTGAAGGTCGTGCATGTAAACAGCAGACACTGATAACAGAGACGTTGTGTGGTACCTCATTCCAATGCTCTGCAGTTTGCTCCACACACTCTTACGGTAGAAGAAGAGTCGGTTCTTCTGGAATGTAGTTTCTGTGACGTAAAAGAATGACCTGAGCAGCTCTACCACGTACGTGTCCATCAGCCAGAACAGGAACGCAGCCAGGACCCTTTCCCTCGTACGGTGCTCTTCGGCAGGGACACAGTTGTTTCCTGAAAGTAGTAGATACTCAACACTAACGTCTCAGCCCAGACTCATAAGGTCCAGCATGGAAGCCCCAAAAGGAGCCCAAGAGGTGTAGCTCTGGACATGCCGGATTCTAATAAAATATATCAATAAATTAGCTTAACCTTTTTTGGGTGTGATTTTTTTTTTTAAAGCATGTTGTACACTAAAGTTCCCTGACAATGTCATGTTGGCGTCGGGACCCTAGAGGCCTACTCACTAGAGGTGGGTAGCTGCTAACTGACAGAGAAATGCTCTGAGCCATCTTTCTCTCCCCGTGCTCTAAAGGTATGAAAACTGACTTCTATTGTGTGGTCACCTGTACTTGTAATCACAGCACTAGGAAGGAAAGACAGACAGATCCTATCTGAAATACTGACTCCAGGTGATCCAAGACGCTACCCGATGTCAACATTGAGACTCCACACACACGCACAGGCAAACCCCAGTGAGCGCTGGGGCTGTGATCCTGGGTCACACACTCACCGCACTGACAACAGTGCCGTTCAGAGATGTGCAGAGCCAAGAGAACTGATGACTCTTACTGTCAAACTGGACATAAAGGTTCACAGCACCATGGGTCAGGTAGCTGTCTCTCCCGAAGGCCATTCTGTATCATTCGAGATCATTCTGTATGTCTCCAGATACAATGGGGCCTGCTTTATCCGGATAAAACTGGGTTTACCAGCTGTGATATACATAAAGGAAACTTGGGAAGAAGAGTAGGAATCCCAAAGAAGGCACAAGATAGGAGACAGAATGAACAAAGAAAGCAGACATCAGGGGCTGGAGAGATACCTCAGGGGTCAAGAGCACTGACCGCTCTTGCAGAGGCTCTCATTTGTTTCTCAGCAGCCACAAGGTAGCTCACAACCTCCTGTAGCTCCAGTTCCGGGAGATCTGACGCCCTCATCTGGTCTGCTCCACGGCACCAGGTGTGGCACAGTGTACGCACATACATCCGAGCAAAGCACTCACATACATAAAATAATCGTTAAAAATAAATAAATAAATGGAGGAAATGGTGTGGAAGGGTTAGACTAAATACACAGTGATCTTAAAAACCAAGAATGGCCGGCGGTGGTGGCGCACGCCGTTAATCCCAGCACTAGGGAGGCAGAGGCAGGCGGATCACTGCGAGTTCGAGGCCAGCCTGGTCTACAATAGCTAGTTCCAGGGCTCCAAAGCTACAGAGAAACCCTGTCTCGAAAAACAAAGCAAAACAAAAAAACCAAACCAAACCAAAAAAAAACCAAGAATGATGTTTAACTTGGATATAGAGAGACTGAAGGCAGAACTAAGTCAACAGAGACAGAGGAAGTCCTCGGAGGCCTCTCTGGCAGGAATCAGCAGGGGTTACCTGGGACGGGGGCATGAGGCTAAAGGAAATGGCAGATTGATAGAAAACAGGAGAGACTGGGGGGACTGAAGTGAATACCGACCAGCCCCGAGTTTATTTCTCAGCCAGCATACTTACTAGTTACAAGCAAAAGTGCAGCACGGTCAGAGAACCTCCTCCCGGCACTGTCCTTGGGAGGAAGCTCAAGCAGAGGCTTTATCTCAAACAAGAATTCGGCTGTCAAGCAGCTTCTAATCTGTAAGAGGAGTGCCTCCAGCTGGAACACCCCAGCCGAATTAATAGGTACTCTTTCTTCTGGGAAAAATGCTCTTTCTTATGGGCTGTCTCAGACTTTTCTCACAGCCCTCAAGGTTGTAGGCAGGGCAGGAAAGCTTGAACACAACTGACTTATAAGTCAGAATTAACTCCAGATGGAAACTGAGTCACACATGGCTACCACAGGAAGTTGGTGGAGATGCTGACCAGAGATTGAGTGCGTTAAGGCTCAAATGTCAGGTGACCACTGGCCACGAATAGTGCACGTAACTTCTTACCACTCTAAGGCAAAAAAAAAAAAAAAATAAGAAAAAAAAGAAAGAATGAAAACACAGGCAGCAAGGAGATGCACTTTATAATTGTGCAGACAGCAAGGCATGGGGGTGGGTGGGGTACAGCAAGAATTCAGCAAACTGACTGAAGAAATGGCTCAGCTGTTGAGACATTGGCTGCTTTTTCAGGGAACTGGGGTTTGGTTCCCAGCATTCACATGGTGGCTCTCATCTGTAACTCTGGTTCAAGGGAATGTAGGGCTCTCTTCCAGCTTCTGCAGGTTCTTGACATTCAAATGATACAGAGATGGACAAGTAAAACTCCACACACATCATTTAAAAACTAATGAAAGCGAACTGGAAATAATAAAAGCAGCACATTCAGGCGCATTTCTTCCTGAAAGAGAGGAAGCAAGCAAGCTCAGCTTTTCAGCTAAGGGATGGCTGTCAAATCGACATTGCAATGTATAAAAAAAATCACTTGTGTGCTATGGAAAAGATCCATTTGAACCACAAAAATGCGAAACATTTAAAAGCAAAACTTAAAGGAAGAAAAAAGACATACTAGGGAAAAACCAAAAGCAAGCCCAGTTCAGTCAGTTTGAGCAGCTGATAAACTTAGCTGCTGGACGTGGTTTACACACCTGCGATCCCACTTCTCCAGAAGCTGAGGCAGGAAGGGCAGCCTGAGCAATTTAGCAAAAACCTGTCTCAGAAAACAAAACAAAACTTTACATTTAAAGAAAAAAAATCACTAGAGATGTAATATCCTGGTAATCAGATTCTCTAATTTTAATAATTAATCAGAAAGATTAAATCCTGATGGGTGTGGTGGCACACCCTTTAATGCCTGCAATCCTGGAGGCACACTCTTTAATGCCTGCAATCCTGGAGGCA